AAATTCAGGCCTAAAAAGAGCATATGTTTCACACAGATGGTATGTATTCAAACACTTGTACAGTTGAATCCACTTTTAGAGTCTACAAATATAGCCACCTTTTACATATACTGTAAGAAAGTCAGATTCGCAGATTTCCATTTGCACATCAAAACAGTTATATTATAGCCAGGCGTCATGCATACGATGAAATTGTTCCGTTTAAAAACAAAACCAGATTGCTATAATAGGATCCCATTGTATCTGTGAAATTAATCTGTCCTAATACTAAGGAATAGCATCTGTTTTTAATGGAACAAAAATACCTCCGCCAGTGTAGCAAATAACACTGTAAAGTTTCCAGACTTTCCACATAAGGGATTCCTTGGTAAAGGTAACTTAGGCTTCCCGTGTTTCCACATTGAAGACAGTGATTCAGACATTTCCTAGGAGGGAATAATTGGACTGGCTTTGCATCGACAAAATGAAATGTTAAAAAAAACACACCAAAACCAACTATCCAAAGGGAACCTTAATTTAAAGTTACAATGTTGAAGTGCTCATGAAACAAAATGCAGAAAATTAACTATTGAAAGAATGTCTTCTCTGCTTCCTTTATAACACCTTTTATCACAGCCTTTTATAAAACTGTGCCATTGGCCCTTGATAACACAAAACATTGCTTGTTTTGAGCTTACAGATACACGCCTTGAAGCACATTTGTAACCCTAGAATGACATCGGTTCTCATCTGACCACAGTCCATGCCGTCTTCAGAAGAAAGGTTACATCACTGTGAGCAGAAACTGGCTGCTAAGTTTGACAGACATGGTTCCTCCACACACCATGCAAGCAACTGAAGTTAGGTCCCTCGGCTGGGAAGCAGGAATACTTTATACAGTGACAATGCGCCTGCGGTAACTGTCAGGCCTAGCATTATTCTCAGGTATTGTCCCACCGAAGTCAATTAGATTACGGCAATTGTGCCGTGCACAAGTGCAGGATTGGAGACTGTTGATAATGGCAGCAAAAAAGAGAAGCTTTGAGGATGGAAGTAATTTTAAGGGACAGCTTAAATTAAAATTGCTTTAAGCCAACAAACTGTTTTTACATACTTTCATTTTAAATGAAATACACAATTATTTTTCAGATAGACTCCGCATCTTTCTTACAAACCAGCAGCATGTCCTACTCCAGGCACTCACAAATATTTCAATGTTTTGTGAGTGAGGAGTTATTTCTAAACATTTTTGAGTGCTTGAGATATTTTGTTCTTGAAAATGGAAGTGAATTAAGAAGTGTCTTCAAACAGGCAGTTCAAAGACATATTGAAACAATTTGTATCAAACAAAAGGCTCACAATGAAAGGAACAGCCAGTAAGTATAAAAACACAAACCATTTAAAAACAAAGCAAATGGAGCCAATGTCTTATCATCACTACTAGAAAATCAGAAGGAACTTAAATCAGTGTTTCCTTCTACTACCATTGTCCATGGTTTGACTCACCTCCCCTGTGACATTGGTTTTACCAGCCCTTCTCTGCTTTCACTTTTTCTGTCCCCAGGCCTTTGTCTCTGGAGTGAAATGTTATGAGCTATACCACACAGGCACACTTACCCTGGAACTGGTTTACCCTAGCCTCCTCACAAGCAATATAAGTAAAATTGAAAAATGGTCTCAGAATAAAAGTGTTCATACTAGTATGAAATCATTCAGATAAAGTTGCACCATTAATTATATGGAAAAGATTTTTTTCTTATGCAGACCAATCTTGTCAATTCTTCTTCTGGAACTATTTCCCTAGACTCGGTTTCCCTTCACCTGGTTTTAGATATTTAGAAGTCAAATATCAAAGTGCAAGTTATTCGGTCCTGCCTCCCTTCGTAGTTAAATATATATATATATATATATCTCAGAGAGTATCAGCAGGTATCCCCTAGTATCATCTTGAGTACTGTTTTCAGATTACATGGCTCACCATCAGTAGGAGCCTGTTTATATGCACACCTGTGAGGGTGGTGATAATGACTAACTTGGAATTAGTGTCTGTATGGGAATCATAGCAGGTTTAAAACATCTAAATTTTGGAGAGCCTGGAGAACATCCTAGGGGCTTATTCTTAAATAGGCATCTGGGAGTCCATTCAGCTGGTTCAGATGTACCCCTAAACATAAATGTCCAGCATCCATTTTAGATGCATGAAGGTATCTGAGACATCTGTGTGGGCTGGCAGATATAACACAGGACCTGTTTGTCCTACTTGTTTCGGGAGAGGCAGCTGTAGGCCAGATGGCACAGCCTTGGGCATCTCAACTGGCATTAGATGTCTATGTTTAGACAGCTGAATCATGCCCCAAGCAACTTGTCTGCTGCACTTCTCTCTGGATCCCATTGACTAAACCTCTGTTGACAGTAGTAGGAGCTGAGACAAGTGGCCTGTATGTGACACCTACATACCGTAATCACGATTTGGGCATCTTAGACTCAAACTGAATCCCACTTACCATTTTTTAAACACCATCTAAGGTGAGATTCATTCCATCCCTCAATTTGATCTTGAGTGCTAAGCTCATGTTGACCAGCTGCCTGTGGATCTAATTGCTTTCCCTGTAGTCTCTGCATTTTTCCTGCCTTGACCACGGCATGCTGCTGCTGAAATGAGTTTGCCTTATCCTTCCCTTTAGTCACATCTCAGAAAACCTTTGTCTTCCCACTTCCCATCCTGTGCTCTGTTCAAATTCCAGCTCCAAACAGGTCCTTCAAGAATAAAACAGCACCTGCCTAGGCATGAAGTGGCATCAGGGCATGATCTCAGGCTCTTTAGCTAGGCTGGGCTCAATGTCCTAGAATGCAGAAAATGAGGTGAAGACTGGCCTCTGGCATTCTGCTGTTGATAAAAATGTGTGGCTTTCATGACAAAATCGTGCCATTCAAAAGCATAGTAAAGATAAACTTTAAGTATTTTTCTGAGCTAAACTGTCTGAAGTAAATTACAATGTGGGGAAGGGGAGGATGAATATTGCTGACCACTGCCTTGCATGTGTCTTTGGCTAGGATTTTTCATGTAACGACAGTGACCCATCTTGCTTTCAAAACCCGTCCCTTCATCTTTCAACCCTAAAATCAGCAGAGATGGGGATTTGGTGTTGTCTTGCTTTCCGGCTGCTCCTCAACACCAGACTCTGCACCTCTGTCATGATGCTCTCTCACCGATAAAAAGCGTTCTTTCTTATTCACTATTTGGTTTTGAAACTCTGACCTCCATTCCACCATACACATAAATTAAAAACCATTAACCCATATACATAGTTTAAGTAAAGAGATACATAATATCAGTAAAGCCTAAAAAGGCATTATTTCCTCTGTTCTTTCACCAAAAAGTGTTTCTTTCCATTTTCTTTTTTAACTCATGTATTAAGTTTCATGCTTCAGGCCTAATCCTGCAAATGCATATGCACATGAGAAAATTCAGTCACATCATAGCTCTCATTTGAAATCAAAGAGATCATTCACACGTGTTCGCAAGATTACATTTTTCAACTCCTTGAATAGCTCCACCTTCTTATTAGGCTGCAGAGTGCTATGAGCTTTTTGAATGCAGTTCAGCACCTGCAAGGTTTGTCTTCCAAAACAGTCGTCAGTGGAAAGGACCTTTAGCTGAGCAACAGCAGGTTAAAAAGAACACAAATTGAGATGCAATGGTTGTTATTTCTAATCAGCCCTGATGTGAAGGAGTGAATTTTATTCTCTTTCCTAGCAGTTGGCAGTTTCACCTCATGACTTCGCGTCTTATGCAGTTAGCAGAACAGAATGGCAGCTTCACTTGCGAAGTTTATTGTAAATGTTATTCATAACAAGCTAATTTGTTGTTGTTCTGCTAAACTGGAACTCCTGTTTCTCAAGGGCATTTGCTCATTGTGATTGTGAACTGTTGCATTCACCTTTTATGTTTGGTTAATCTAGTGAGCGCTGTAACCTGACTTGTCCTCTTTGAGAGAGTGGTGTGATCATAACTCAGCCCTGAAGGGTGGGGTTACAGTCGAAAGTCTCTCAGAAAAGAAAAATAGGTGGCATTTGCCCCAGGTAAAATCACTGATGTTACACCACTGAGCTTTGGCTCAGTACCAAACAAGTCATGAAGAAAAGACTACTGCTGTAAAGAAAAAAAAAAAAAGAAAAGCATCCAAAAGACCTCTCATTGATAGTTCTATGTGCATGAACGTACCAGCACAAACAGAAAGGCAAAGAGAGCCTGTGAGGATGTTATGAATATCTTCAGAGTCTTTCTGTGATTTGAGTTTTTCTGTGATTTGAAACTGGCTCCAAAACCTCCCCTGCTAAGCAAAGCTGTTTCCTCAGCAAAGTCTCAGGCCCCATGGGAAGAAAATCTATAATCTTTATTCAAAAAAGAGGCTGCTGCTTAGCGATTTCATCAGTCATATAACTACATAAAACTAAGTTGCATGGCATTGGTTCTGTGTGCCATGTGACTGCATGTTATAGAAGCAAGAAACGAAACACAGGCGCGAAGCCAGAACAAATGAGCGAGCGAGAAAGACACGGCTGTGGAGCAGGGAGCTACACCCAAAGCTTAAGAAAATACGCCAGAAAATACGCTGGATGAGAGTCTCCTCCGGCCCTCCCTTATTTCAAAGGGTTTTTTTTTTTTTGCTTTGTCCCCGGTGCACCCCCGCACCCTGAGAAGCTGCGACTATCGGCAGGGTGTTGCGGACCAGCTAGACAGGCGTGATCGTCCTCACACTCACTAAAAACATGAAGCAACTGGTTGCTGAATAACTAAGTGTACTGGGTTTGCTTTAAGCTGAAATAGCTAAGAATAATAGCAGGTATTTATTTAGCATTAACCGGTTCTGAGCCCAAGGGTTTGGCGTTAAAGAAATCATAAATGTTTATGTCCTGTGACAAACGTTTCAGGAGCGTCCAAACTGCACGTAGAAGCAAGCTAACTAACGCAGGCTGGCTGCTAAAGTTTAGAAATAACCTGCTTGCTCCTCACTCACCCGTCAGAGCCAAGGGTTTGACGAAGTCTTTTTGACTGCGCATCTGGGCGCCAGCCGACGGCAGCACATTACACGAGCCTGCATGTAACATAACTGGTTTCAGCTGGCTTGCGGAAAAGTCCCTTGAAAATATCATTCCCAATACTTTCTTTTCCCAGCTAAGGATAACAGAAGTGACAATGATTACATGATATTAATGTGATATTTATAACCAGCCTATTCCCTAATCTAAATAGCAGCCTCATGCATGTGGTTCTTGCACACTTCCAGCATGTATTCCAGGCTGGGGCTAAAGAGCCAGATTCAAGTAGGATGGGTTTGGTGTAAAGAGAAAATTCATGCCTAAACTCAGACTTAATCCAAGCCCAAGTACCCCCTACTCTCCCAGCTTGTCTTCAACCCACAGTGTGGGTATGACACAAGTTTGGGCTCACTGCATGGTTAGAGCCATGTTCAAACAGCAGTGTGTGAGTATCTACTGAGCTTTGGTCTTAAATCAGCTCTTTCCTCACATAGCTCCAGGTTCACTGTGATTTGGAGATCTGTTTTTCATGCTGCAACCATTCCTGTGCCTGTTAAAGTAGCAGGCAAGAACAGTCCAGTCCTCTTCGGTAGTATTTTAGAGTGGTTTTGTATGGAGCCTGACCATCTTCTCTTTTCTAATCAGTATTTTATTAACTAGTACCATTTTCTACCAAGCTGGATTGATTTGGTTAAATGCATAATCCTTTCCATCTGCCTGAGTTCACATCCACTAGACTCTGCCCCACTGTTCAGGTGCGTAGAGCTACTAGATCTTCAGTACTAGAAAAAAGATTCAAAGTCCAGGACAAAGCTGCACTCAGAACTTAGTGAAATAACATGCCAAGCAAAAGTAGATTTGATTTGTACAATTGCCTGTTTTAGCTATAGTGTCTTTTAATAAGATGATACACTTGCAGCAAGAATAAGGACACAAGGTTGGGTTTTTTTCCACCCAACATATTGAAGATCCAGAGATCTTTTCCAGTCCTATGCTCCTCAACACATAAATCTGTTTCTTTTGCTCCAGGATGCACTTTTTCTGTGACATCAGCATGGGCTCCTTCACTTCACTTGGCTTGTCTTTTTGGCATTTATGACAAAACTTCGCAGATTCGTCAGTGCAAAACACAGGTACAGAATGAAGCACTGTTCAAGCCATTTGCCTTCCAAATTTCCAGGAAATTTCAGCTTTATTGGTTTTAGCTACTTCATTCTGCCACTCAGAGTATTTCAAGCAGGTAATATTTGTTCCCAGATAGTGTCTGGGGTTTTTTTTCCAGAAACTGCTGTGAGCCAAGGGCTCTGACAGAGGTCTGCTTTGTCTAGCATCTAGGTAGGGAACAGCGCTGTTAGCTGCTGGGGAATGCAGGACAACTCGTTTCAGTGGTGTATGCTAAGGATTCTTAGAGGTATGGCTAAATTCACTTGATAAGACCTCTGATTTAATAGGACTGACCCAAACAACATGGACCTTGCAATCTTAGAAGTAAAGTCACCATGACACTGCATTTGATAGCAATTAGGTTTCCACAGCTGATACGGAAGTAACTTTATGTAGTAGCTTTTGAGTTAGCAAGCAATTCTAGGGAATATGTAGGGATAACTTCATATTTGACATATCAGTGTAAATGTGTCTCTTGGAGAAACCTCTTTCTTTAATACATCCCTGGACTGACCCAAGTGTCCGAATTAATTCAAGTCAGGTGGCTCAGCTTTGTGTGTTATCTCTTTGTCAGTGTGAAGATGGACCCTAGCAGGGGCTCAATGGGCAGGTTTTGGATCATTTATTCTCTGCCTCTTTTTGAATTAGCTGCTGCAAGTCATTTAAAACTTTGCCAATATTCCTTTTCCTAAGGAACTTGCACATTTAGGGTACGAAAGCAAATAGGCCCAAAGGGGTGGCAGGAGCTTCCCTTCAGATCACATCAATACTGGGAAAGTCTTCAGGAAAGCTTGTAAATGTAGAGCTGCTGCATTTAAATGGCAACAAAGTGCTTTGGTTTATGGCAGCAAGCCGGATTCAGGGGTTAGAGCCACTCCTTAGCTCTGCTGCAATTTACAGCACTGGCACACAGTAAAAGGCCACTGCCAGGCATCCCCTCTGTGCTGCTGCTTCATCTTTTTTTAAATGACAACGAGATGCAGGACAAGTGCACAGGACTGCATGACAGGAGGGGCACAGGGCTCGGAGGGGACCGAGAGCCTGAATGGGGAATCACTTCCTCTCAGTAGATGGCAGAAAAAAGGGAGCAGACTTTCTGAAGGAGAGGAGGTCCAAATGCGTGAAAAATGCATCCACTCATTACAAATGCATCCTTCAGGTAAGGTTCAGCCTATGTTACTTAGTGAAACGAAGCAGGCAGTATGTGCACTTTCATTTTATGTATTTTGCTTGATGCCTTGTTTGTTTTCAGTTTGTGTGTGTTTCCTTTGCATTGGACACCGCGTTCATGCACAAGCAGTTCTCTTTTATGCATCTTTGCACTAGAAGAGTAACCTTCTATTTCCCGCAAGATTTGACTTCAAAATCTGATTCAAAGCATGACTGTGTGGCTGGATGCTAACTGCTTCTCTCAGAGGTATGGGTTTACCCCACACACTCCACCACAAATAACAACAATCTAATTAACTGTCACTGAGATCAGACATTTTTTACCTCTTCATCTTTTTCTCATCTACCATATCCTTGCTTATCTACCATATCCACACTTTGTCCAGTTCCTCAAAATCACGGGCATCTGCACAACCTTGATTGCAAGTTCAGCAAAATTTGAAGTCTCTGATGCACGCATTTGGATGGTTCACAGCTGGAGAGATCATTTTCTGTTAAGCTCAGTCCACTGTTCTGTTTTTTTCCCTCGACAGGGTAGAGCTCAGTTTCATAAAGGGGAGCTGCCTTATCTCATCGGGGTGCAGATGCATCCTGCACCTGAGAGCCACTGAAGCTGCGTGCTCATACCCATGCGCGTCCATGTACACCACATGTATATACAAGTAAGAAACTGGAGGGGACCAATTCAGCTTCCCTCCCACATATCCCCAAATAATCAAGCAGCATTTAGGGAATTTGCATGAGCCTCAGAAATCTGATTCTAACCCAAGAAACATTGGTCAGGGCCAAAATAGGTGGCTGTTTTCACAGGCCTGGTACAGAAGTTTCCAAGGTAGAGTGGGGAACAACTGTAGAGCTCACAAGTCTGGAGGATCTGAAGCCAGTGGAAAATCCCTGAGAAAGAGACTTAAATTACAGCAGTTCCTATAGCTGCTGTGAGTTACGCCCAGCGATGTGTCAGTGGCTGGAACGCGGTCAGTAATGGAGTGAGCACACCTTTCCCTGCTTTTTTATTTCTCGTAAGACTCGGGAGTCTCTTATTCTGAACCTCTAGCTCTAAGTTAATAAAAATAAAGATCAATGATTAACTACACATGCGAGGTTTTACTTACTGGAGCATTTAAAAATGCTGAGAACGCAATTTCTCACCCTGTAGGTTGAAGCAGTTGATGGGGAAGGGGCAGAGAAGCAGCAGAGGAAGCACAGACCACCGAAGGCATCGTACCCCGGTGGGAAAGGTACAGCCCAGGGATATCACGGGCTATCAAAGCGTGGCACATCTCCATACAAGAGCAATGGTTACTGCCTTTCAATGTTTTTTCCTAGAAAGCTGACGAGGAAAGGATCCCTGGGTTTTGCAACCTGGACCCCAGTTCTGTAAGAAAAAGAAAATCAGGCTGAGGAAGGAATGACGATGTTGTGCGATATCACTGATCAAACCAAGGATAAGCTAGAAGGGCGAGATCAAAGTTGGAGGGGCTTCAGACAATATTTTTATTTTTCAGAGTGCTATATTCTCCATTCCTGGGTCTGTTTAATTTACTCTCTTGCCATGGACCCTGCTCTACATTTAACTAGAAACCAGAGCTTCCCCAGCTAACAAGGAAAAGTATCTTGGTAATGAGGGGCTCAGGAAGGCCGTGGCACCAGCACTGTGGTTTAAAGCAGTGAGTCTATGGGATCCCACTGACTAAGACATCAGATATTGCTTCTGAACCTGAAACCCATTTCTATGAACCACAGAAGGTTCAAGCGTCTTTGAAGTATGCAGGCTTTTATGTTTCATTTATAATGTACTCAGTGAGAAGCAGCTAAAAAATGATAGGGTAGATGTTGCACAAAATTGGAAGCAGCGAGCACAGATAATACTGAAGTAGATTTTGAAGGTACTGCAGGAGAAATCACCGGTATAATTAGAATGTTGAGGTCGGAAGGGACCTCTGGAGGTCACCTTGTCCATGTGTTAGCTGTATTGTAGGAACCACCTTAGGAACATTTAGAAAAAGGGCCTTGCTTTTTTAGGTCGTGGCAACAAATGAATGACATCAGACATTTTTCATAGAGTCATAGAATCATTTGGTTGGAAAAGACCTTTGAGATCATAGAGTTGAACCATACCTGTCCACTACTAAACCATGTCCCTAAGCACCATGTCCAGCCATCTTTGAATACCTCCAGGGGTGGGGACTCAAGTTCCGTCTGGGTGAAGAGTTAGGTAAGGTAACTACAGAGACCTTAAAATATTCATAGAAGGTGATGATAAGACAGTTGCCATGTCAGAGCTTGTTTTGGTGAAGCAAATATTCACTGTCGATTTAGAATGTATTAAATTGCCATTTTTAAGTATTTAAACTAATTGGCAACATTATAGACTGGAACGTATATAAAGAGCAAGAAATGCTTTAAAAAAGCACAGGAGGAAAAGTTTAAGAACTAGCTCTTGGATGTTAAATAAAAAACTGTGATTCAGCAACCGTGAAAAATGCAATGGATTAAAAAGGAAAAGATGCAGAGTGATAAATAAATCCTCAAAATAAATATTTAGAATCTAAGAAAGAAAGAAAAATGTCAGTGATGATAGGTTTTAGCTTTAAAAAAGAAAGAGATAGCGGAAGCTGAAGGAATCAGTGAAATGTCACCAGTCACAGTGAATGACCAATAAAATTTAAAATTATAACAGAGCTTTT